CCCACCCTCATCCAACTTCAACATCACCCCCCACCCTCATCCACCTTCAACATCACCCCCACCCTCATCCACCTTCAACATCACCCCCACCCTCATCCACCTTCAACATCACCCCCACCCTCATCCACCTTCAACATCACCCCCACCCTCATCCACCTTCAGCTTCACCCCCCACCCTCATCCACCTTCAACTTCACCCCCACCCTCATCCACCTTCAACATCACCCCCACCCTAATCCACCTTCAGCTTCACCCCCACCCTAATCCACCTTCAGCTTCACCCCCACCCCCATCCATCTTCACTGGCTGCCGGTCAAATCCCGGATTCAATACAAAACAGTCCTCCTGACTTACAAGTCTCTCCTGCAGTGTGTTTATGTTTTAATCCTACAGAACACATGGTGAAAGGATAAGATGTGTTTTGTCAGTATAGTACTATTTTATAAACATTCTCTGTTGTTTAAGTGTCTGATACTTGATAACCACGAATACAAAATACGTAAAAATTACAAGTAATGATATCACATATATGATATAGTCAGACACTGTGTTATTTCAAATCAGGCCTAACGAATAATTAGTTCAAACTGGCTTTACTCACTTGAATTGCTCCTTAGAATGTAATTTTCTCTGTGGTTTTTTCTATGCAACACATTTTTGTATTGTAATGCCACTCGTATTGTATTTATTTGTGTATTGTAAGTCATGTTTTGAAAGGTGCCCTCAAATAAAATATATTGTTATTGTATCTGTGACTCTCTCACATTTATTTTTTATTTTTTTTTAGACAAGGTTAATCCTGGTGTCAATAGGGAAGATCTGCACGGTTCTCTACAGCCCATGTTCAGCAGAACAGGTGGTGCAGCTGCCTGGTTTGGCACCCCCACTATAACTTTGACCAGGGTGGTCGTACTCCCACCAAAATCACACTGGTGGTTGCTGTCCCCCTCTAGTGTGTGCACACAAAAGCATTTTACTCTGGGCTCAGCAGGTGAGAAACTAAAGAGGGGCTTCCACATGTGGCAGACCAGGTGTTGGTGCTGCCGGATTTGGCACCCCCACTATAACTTTGTCCAAGATAGTTGCACTGTCACCAAAATCACACCGGTGTTGGTTCTTTCAATCTTATCTGAGAAGGTTTTCCATCTCCGGCAGAGCAGGTTTTCTAAGTAGTTCTGAGTAAAGGTGAAATAACGACTTTACATTTAGTTATTTTCGTGTTGTGTAAATAATGATGCCTTTCCATGATGCTTTGGAAAGGCAAAGCATAATAAATAAATATATATGTACATTTCAACTTTATTTTTTATTTTTACGATTGCAGGGAACAATGATCAGTTCATGCATAATTAATGATTATTCAAAAATGCCAATGCCAACAATGTTGAACACTAATATTAAGAACAATACAAATGTATTATTGGTGTTAGTATTGTAATTAGCTTTTACAAACCTATTGTAATCAATGGAGAAGATACCACAATGTGGACAATTTGGGTTAGGGTCTTCAGGGTCTTTATTTTGTGTTCATCTATTCTAGGGGAATAAACAATATCTGCGATGTTGAAAGACTTTAAATCACTTGAACTTATAAAAGCAGGGATTTCTCATTGCAAGGAAAAAAGGGTAATTGTATTCAGATAGTACAACAGAAACAGAGAGAGGACTTGCAAATACAAGGTCTTATTATCCTCAGGATAGAAAATCTGCTCTGCCGGAGATCAAAAACCTTCTCAGATAAGATGGAAAGAACAAACACCGGTGTGATTTTGGTGACAGTACAACTATCTTGGACAAAGTTATAGTGGGGGGGCCAAACCAGGCAGCTGCACCACCCTCTAAACCAACCGTTTCCAGACGCTCAGAGCCTTTATCGTTATGATTATTTCATGCTTGCCATTTTCCAGAGTAAGGGATCGACAGGACTTTTTCAAGCTATTGAATGAGCGCCTAATCGGAGAGCAGATCGTCCTTCATGCAATTCAAAATATTTTGTAGTAAAGGAGGTATCTTTGAACTTTTAACATTTAAACTTCTAACGCTGAATTTTTAAATGTAACTTTAACTATCTGCTGGTACACATAGAGTTTTTTTAAGTCCATAAAGTGAATTCAGCAAAAGACAAAAAAAAGACTTCAGTGGATTGCATGTTCTTAATAAATTATTTTTCTATATTGTGTTGTTTTCACATTTACTAAAATTCATATCCTTACATTGGCTCCCAACTCGTTTTAGAATGTATTTTAAGGTTCATTTTTCATTTCATTTAATCGTTTATTTGAACCGGGACAGTGCACATTGATGAACACTTTAAAACAAAAATAATGCTTACAAGTGTAAATGAGCCGGATTTTAGCTTTGAGCTCATTTCCATCCGTAGTCCCGTCACATACAACATATAAGAACATGACATTTATATACATAGCAAAAATAAATACATGATATGCAGGAAGAGCATGAGCAGAATACAAGCATTTACAGTACAATTGGCAGTACAATGTAGCAGCTATGATATATTAAGTGCAAGATAAAATAAAAGAGCTACCTAAAGTGCAAGAGGAGGTACCCCTGTGTTAAAGTGCATTTAGCGGTGATTACACGTCTGTTTGTTGCTCAACCATTCTTTGAGTTGACCTTTAAAACTATTGAGAGTGGGACCATCCCGTATCTGAGTTGGGAGGCTATTCCACAACGAGCTGCCTTTAATGGAGAGGACATTTTGTCCAAAAGTTGTCCGTCTACGATGGACTTCACAGTCTCCTCTGGTTATTAAGATAAGATAAGAGAGAACTTCATTGATCCCAGTTTGGGAAATGTTTGTGTTGCAGCAGCATACAAAGACATGGCATTGTACAATACACATTTAAAGAAATAAACAAGAAAGTAGAACATATACATTTTGAATTAACAAATGAACAATAACAAGATATAAAGCAAGGTATTATATATAAGTATGTGACAGATGGAATATTAAATATTAAACTGAATATATAAATGTGAAATGTGTGAGGAATGAAAACTGATTGCTGATTTTCAGAGTTCAAATTGTGTCAGACGTCTCTTGGATGCTCCCATTGCAGAAAAACATGATTGAGTTCATTTTCACAATAAAAACAGCTACTATGAAACAGTCTGCTGTGGGTTGACTGAAGGGAAACACACAGTCCAGGTGGGATTTGAACCCGGTCTTAAGTAAATCTGTTTTAGGATGAAATAAATGCTTAATTTCTCTGCAGGTTAAAGAAGATACACTTTCTGCATCTTCAGTGTCACCTTTTTAGTCTCTGGTTCATTTGGTCCGGCGGGGAAGGACAAAGATTGAGTATGAAGAAACAGGGTTTGAACCCCGCCTGAGGGAACAACAAAGGAGTTTGTGTGGCTTCATTTGTCGCCTCATAAAAAACATTCCAATTTCAAAAATGATTCGATATGATGTCACGTTGATTTCCTCTTGGGTATTTAATGATAGCTACAAACTAACGGAGGGAGGTCATTTGTGTTCAGTGTGTTATATTCATGAGAGGAGAATAAGGACAGAGAGGTCAGAGATGGTCCTGCTTTAAAGTCCTCCTCCTGGCGACATGTGGACAAATGTTTCTGGGTTATTTTTGGCTGCCATAAAAGAGAAATTGTCTTGAAATGTACAAAAAACATTTGGGATCGGTCAATTGGTAGCAAGGATGCTAGAACAGTCAGTAGCTCGTCTGAACACTATCGCTTGAGAGTTAAAAGCTCATTTGTTTTCGGCTCAGTAATGAGAGCAACACTGTGATTGGTTTTGGGGTAGGAGGTTTCAAAATAAAGAAATAAGTTTAAAAAAAACATGATTTTCTGAAATAGGAATTGCAACACTGATGGAGACAGAGATCATATCAGTCTGATCTGAGGTCAGGGAGATAATGGAGCCCCAACAGCTGAGAAAAACTAAAGCTGCCTTGCTCCTAAATGTAAATAGTTACAATAATACTTTGGAGTGAGAAGCAGAGATCATAATATGGTTTGTGTGAAATGCTGTTTTTACATCAAATGTGTTTTTTTGAACTGGGTTTAATCTCAATGAGTAGTAAGATTATGTATATTTAAGAATAAGAAGTGAATAGTGCTGGGTGGGTTCCTGTCAGCTCTGAGTTCAGTGGGCTGTGTCAGTCTCTTCCTCTTCAGCAGCTGCAGGTGGTTCCTGCTGTAACAGCTCAGAGTCTCTGCAGTCTGACTGAGGGAGGTTTTTGTACGACGACAAATCACTGTGTGAACACGTAACCACTGTGGTAACTCTGACAGTAATAAACTGCTGCATCTTCAGCCTTCAGTCCAGTGATGGTCATAGAGAAGTCAGAGCCGCTTCCACTGCCACTAAACCGAGGTTCTGTTCCTGATTCAAGTGTGCTCGCATATTTTATCAGGAGCTTTGGAGGCTGTCCAGATTTCTGTTGATACCAGAACATATAATTATTACCGGCAACATCTCTGCTGGCTTTACAGGTGAGAGTGACGGTGGATCCTGGAGCAGACGTCTCGACTGCAGGCTGAGTCACAGTCACAGTCTGACCGCTGCATCCTGCACACAGAAACAGATCATTGATTTCTCAGCAGAAAGAAAGGAGAGGAAAGGCAGCACATGATGTTTGAAATGTTGCTGAGTGAATGAACCTGTGAAACAGCAGCAGGCCAGCGTCCAGATGAGGATGGTGATGAGAGTCATGGTGCTTTCTGCTGACTGACACATGTGAGTCCTGCAGTGTTGAACTCACAGGACTATAAACCTTCTCAGTTCACTGGAGGATCAGCTGACCATGCAAAGCCTCCTCTCTATGGAAATGATGTCTCTGCTCTCAGCACACTGAAGGCAACGTGGGACACGAAACCAGGAGGAACACTGTCTGGATTTACACCGTCTATCATCTGAATGGAAGAACATATTTATATCAGGAGTGGAGATGAGGATTTGAGTTTGTGTCCACTGTGGTTGGTATGATATGTCTGTTTGTCTGACATTAACATACATGAGATTCACTGTAGATCAATAACATGTTTCAGTTCTGTTTCAAATACATTTGTTAATAACTGTTATTGAAAAGCCTCGTGTTCATTTAACCGTGTAGAAACTAATATAAAACTGACAAAGTTAGTTGTGTAGAAGACTGTAATGGTTTCTCTGCCAGGTGTAGAAAAGTGATGAGAAATGACATAAATCATCTTAATTCTTCCAGAGATGTAATCCATATCTTTAGAAAAGCTTTGTTGATTTAAAAACTGTATATGTGTCTCTGTTATCAGTGAGATCAGGGAGCTTTCTCAGTGATACATGCTTGCTGACAGTGCAGGAGGTTTTTGTACGGCCACTCAATGAGTTTGTATCACTGTGGTGGACTTTTGGTGGAGGAACCAAACTCATCGTTGACTGTAAGTACCAGAGATTTGTATTTTATACAACTATTAGCAAATATATAACTTTCATTAATTATTAAATGAGACTCAAGTTAAAAAAAACTTAGATTCCATTTTTATATTTTTGTATTAAGCTCCTCTTGTAATCTGAAAGGAACCTTTGCAGACTTCTATATTAATTGTTCTTTTCGTACAAATAATTTTTTTAAAGCAAATAACTTGTTTATTGTCTATATTATATTTTATTATCATAACAATTTTATACTCAATGTTTTTATTTATTAAAATGTGTTAACGCGTGACGTCTCCGCCACATTCAGTTTTACATTTGTAGATCACAATATTGTATTTATTTACATTATTTATCTATTGTCTTTTAAAATATCAACTATTTAGTTGAATTCAAGTTAAATACGGATTCATTTAAACTTGTGATTGTATCAGTTAATGCAGCTTGTCGTCGTGTTCACGGTTCATTGATTTGACATGCAGTGAAAAGGAAGTGAAAGAGACAGATGATAAATGTTTGAACTGTTTTCACTTGAGACGTTCAGCTCTGTCAGTTTAAAGAACATCATCACACATGTGAAGATATTCAATCATTATTATCAATGAATCTTTAGCTTGCACACTTTACACAAAGTCAGTCATTCACACTTGAATCATGTGGGTCTGATCCTGAGTGATTTATGAGAGTAACAGCAGCACAACTTATTCTGTTATATTTGATGAAATATAAGGATTCAAGGATTCAAGGCTTTTCTTGTCATGTGTACATAGCTACAGTGCAGATACTTCAATGAGCATCTTAGGTCACAGGCTCCTCCAACAGAGCAGCACAATAACACAGATACAATAGAGCAAGGAGAGTCTAGATACAAGTAATTGGAATATGATATATTAGATAAATAATGTGTAAGTTGCAAACAGATGAATGTTATTCTTTTAAAAGACGTACAACACTCAAATGTAAATTATAAAAGGCAGTGATACCAATGTTTCCACAGAGGTGACTGGTATCGTAAAGAACTGACACAAGGATTTGACAGCAGCAAAATGACAACATCAAAAAAGGACCTTATAATCAAGTGTTCACTCTAATGTCTCCCTTTTCCTCCCCCCTCCCTCCCTGCTCCAGTGGGTGTGCAGCAGCCCACCCTGAGCGTCCTCCCCCCCTCCAGAGAGGAGCTGCAGCAGGGCAGTGCCACTGTGGTGTGTCTGGCCAGCGGGGGCTTCCCCTCCGCCTGGAAGCTGGGCTGGAAGCTGGGGGGCAGCAGCAGCTCCTCAGGGGGGTCCCACAGCCCGGAGGTCCTGGGGAGCGACGGCCGCTACAGCTGGAGCAGCACCCTGAGCCTCTCTGCAGAGAGCTGGAGGGGGGCGGGCTCAGTGAGCTGTGAGGCCAGTCTGAGTGGACAGAGCCCTGTCACTCAAAGCCTGGACCCTGCCCGCTGCTCGGAGTAGAGCATCACTTCCTGTCTGGAGAGGAAGCCGCTGCTTTGCTAGAGATCTTCATGAAGACACACATCTCCTCTGCTCACATGTTGCTGCTGTCTCTGCTCAGTTGTTAGTGTTGCTCTCTAATCCTCACTTCCTGCATATTCTCCTGTTTGTTCATCAGCTCACAATTCAACTGGATTTCATTTGTTTCACTCCAACAGAAACTCATCATTCATCTCAAATGTGGCGTGAGCTTTAAACCATCATTAAATAAAAATGTTGATTAAAATGAGACTGTGTCTTTGTACTTCTTTAATTCATATGTTCATTGTGAGAAAGATGTATTAATACCTTCAGCATGAAACCTCGTATTATATTAATATAATTTATGACTGTGGGACAATTTCTTTTATTTCTTTTTATTCTTTTATTCTACTAAATTCATACAAAAAAGAATTATAATTCATACTCACAAAGATGAACAACATTAGTAGAAGCGGGAGGGCTGAAGCTTATGGGAAGTAGCCCTCCTGTGAATCATCCTAATATAACATTGGCATTATTGCGTCAAAAACATATAGAAATGAAGGAGTACAAAGAAATAAAGAAAACTAAAGAAAACTGGAGAAAAAAAAAGTTAGGGTAAGAAAATAATAAATGCATATGTATAATAAAAAAGGGTCATTTTCTGCACATGTCAGTAGCAGTTTCAACTTCAATTTTTGAAAATACTATATATAAATATATACATATGTACACATGTACTTGGCAAATGAATAATGATAATAATAATATATGCATATAAACATTATGAACACTTATTTTCAAGTGACTTTTTTTACATTCATTTGTTCACACATACACAAAATATACAGATGTTCAAGTGTATAAGTACACAAATGCACTCATATATACCAATACAAATATTGCAAGGCAATTTCCAGGGCTGAAATAATAATTGAACCCCATAACGATGAAAATAAATAAGAAGGAACAACAAAATGTAAAGTAATGTAGACCATATTAAATAAATACACAAACTGAAGGTATTAGTTCTAAAGAAATAATAATAATAAAAAGATAAAAAGGATTCCGGGAATAGAATATTTGAATTTAGTTTTGAATTGTTGATGACAAGTGATACTTGAAAGGTCTGGGTGAAGTCCATTGCACGTTCTAACTCCGTTTATGGATCAGCTGTGATTTGATGGTTGTTCTGCAGGGCTTGCTACACAACCAGTCAGGATGCCTAGCTGGGTATTTCCTGACTGTGGTTTGGAACTGCTTTTGAATGTTAGGAGGCATTTTGTTATGGAACATGTTGTGCATAATCAGTACTGTTTTAAGCTTTACTAAGTCAACACATTTTAATAGATTGAGTCTTTTAAATACTCAATCTATTAAAATACACAGTGGAGTGTAAACAACAACATTGTGTGTTTACAGTACTTCAAATGATTTAAATTGTGTTGCGTATGTTTGGACTGCGGTAATATCATTAATTGTTTTGTAGAGCCATTCATAAAGTTACTGTTAAATATATGTTGATATCAGTGGCTATAGTTCAACATGAATCTAACTTTCCCAGCTCACTCATAAAGAGACTGAATTTAATGACAATAATACAGTTTAAACAGGGTGTTGAAGAGTGTCTGTGAGTGTGTTTCAGCTTTATTTGGATTCATGGTGGTTCTGCTTGATGACTCTTGTGTTCACTGGACCAGTTCTCCTCCTCTCAGTCTCTTCACCTGCAGCTGCAGCAGGACGTTTTGCTTCAGACTGAAGGAGGTTTTTGTACGGCTCTAAATCACTGTGTGAACGTGCCATCACCATGAAGACCAAGACAATAGTAATCTCCTGCATCAACATCCTTAACGTTACTGATGGTTAAAGTGTACTGAGCACCAGATCTAGTACCACTGAATCTAGGCTCAGTTCCAGAGAACAGAGATGATGATAAGTATATAAGAGGTTTAGGAGCCTGTCCAGGTTTCTGAAGATACCAACTGAGATCAGGACCAATATCTGAGATCCCTGTAGCGCTGATGGTCACAGTCCCTCCAGGACTAACAGACTTGGATGAGTCAGTCTGAGTCAGGAACTTGTTGGCAGAAGACTCTGAAATGAGAAGTGAAATGTTAGATAACCAACAACATGGAGCAGCAGTTTAAATGATAATAGAAAGAGTTAAAGACAAAGCACATTGGATGCAAACATGAAAAGAAAAGACACACATTGAACCACACACACATTACTCCTATCATTTCAGATGATACATTTTCAAAGTCTCTCACCCTGACACAGAAAGCCCAACATGACAAGCAGAGTTACTGACAACATGATCTCCAGTTCTCAGGATGAGTGCAGGAACACGGTTCAGACTCTACGTGACTCAAGACCTTAAAACTGTGAGGAGCAGTGAAGCATTACAATCATGCAAATGACATGTCACACGTCAAGCAGACACCTGTCCTTGAGGAACCAAAATGCAGTTGAGGTGAGTTTTAGTTACGGTTTAACATCTCTTGAACATCATTTGGTCATTCAGAGTCACTCTGAAATGTGAGGGTAATGCTCTTCTAGGTACGTTCTTTTCTTTGCAAACATCTTTCCTTGTTTCCACTTCTTTCTGAAGTATCTCATGAACAGTTTAACAGTTCCCCCGCTGGCAAATCGATCTACATTGAACTCAATATCCACTGAGTGTTTGATTCTCTAGGATGTCCCTTCTTGTTATCAAATCCACTGAATAGAGACACAGCATGCCATGCAACAGAGAGACATCTAATATCTAACAGGTCTGTCAAGACTGGATGATTTTACCTCAATGAGGGGCCACATAGAGAAACACATACAAAGGGCTGGGCCACTCACTAGAGGTGAGGTATTCTGCCTCATAAATTAAGTTATAAGTTAAATCAATCAAATGTAAATCATGCTTGTTACCTGAATATGATTTAAGTAAAAAAGCTCACAGCTCTCCATAGGGTTTCATTTATTTTGTTGTAAAAAGTGTTGGCAGCTCATCCCTTAAAACAGGAGCCTCAGATTGCTTAAGATAAGGGGAAATATGAAGTATATATTTCAAGCTTGTTATGCAAATAACTTATTGGGCTTTTTTTTATCAACTAAGATTTGTTAGAAAATGTTTTCAACTTAAATGTATTTGAAAAGTGGGTTTATTGCCACATGAATACTACTATGTAATATAAGTCAACATATATATTTAAGAAGTATATTATAAGACAAGATGAAGTTTCAGGTGTGGGCCATATTCCATTATACTTTTGAATCGGCAAATAAAAAATGTACAAGACACCCCTGATCTATGCATTTAATGTATTGCCTGGTTAATAAATGTGCAACACAGTACTAGTCACATAGTGTCACACTGTAGACCCTGTTTTACATTAATCTCTCATTAGAGATGGCCTTTTTTTCTTAGTGACTATGTATATAATTGAACATCTGTATTAGGAAAGGGGAACATTTGAGTTTCACTTCCCCTCTGACTGGGGCTCATGTAGTTTCTGTACGTCTGTGCCGGTGGTGCGTATCAGAACCTCAGGTCAGGTCACAGCTCAGCACTCTGTACGCTGTTTCATACGAGGGAGGTTCTTGTATGACTCTATGAGCAGTGGCGACTGGTCATTAGGGGCACAGCCCCACCTAGTGTCCGCAGAAAGTATTAAAATAATGATTACAACAAAATGCAAAAAATAAATTAAAAAATATATAAAATATATTTTAAGATCATATTTAATCATCTGATTCGTCTGTACATTGTTGTTTTAGTATGTGTTCTTCTAATTAGTGTCTACAGTGTGTGCCTATTGAGCTGTTTAGAGCCGTGTGGGACAAAACCCGATCCTGCCCCTCCCTCTCACTGCCTAAGTGAACGGTGACTGTAAAAACTACACTGCGCATGCTCAGAGTATTTTCCTATGTAATGTGGGTGGCAAAAATGACCGTAGGGGCATAGAGCTGCCATCCCCACCATACGTCATCTCACATAATTCAGAGCTGATTGGCTGTAAGTACGTGTGCCGCGAAAAGTGTGGTGTGTGAAGAGGAGGAGAGAGACGCGTCCTAAAACCAGGAAGTAAGCTGCGCATGGGTTCCCTCCACAAAAAAGCAATGAGATTTCTCCATAGGATTTTAGAAAATAGCTCAAAATAAGATCTGTGGGAAACTTAGCTGTTAGATAAATGTACGTGTTGTTCAGCCGGATAATATCCACATGTCTACCCTACTTTTATCATTTTCTAATCATAAATCCATCATTTAGATTTATGATAGACTTTTGAAACTACAAGAAGATAAGGAGGACTTTTACAAAAAAGTAATAGAGATTTTTGTCCAGAAGGATAGGCAAATGGACTTCATCTTCAAGTCAAGGTAAAACCACCATTTTATTGAAAATGGGATCTTACTAAGAGAGAACAATTCAATATTTAAATGATAAAATTACATTTTTTGGGTATCCTTCTGTTGAACTGTCTGTTTAAAATTAATTGAAGCATCAGACTAAAAAAGCTTTTGAAAATAATATTTTGACCTAAATCAAAATATAATATTTGTAAACCTGAAGAGTCAGTGCTAGTGCCTCACCAGCCATGAACCTCACTGCAGAAGCTTATATATAGACATCTGAGTTTTTTGTGCCCCACCACTTTTGTACATATAGAAACGCCACTGTCTATAAGGCCGACATTAGCTCCCATACAGCAGTCACTTCATGCATCTTCACCTCTTGGTGGTGGGAGTGACTTTCATTTCAAATCCACTACAGCTCAGAGACAGAGAAATAAAACATAGCTACTGAATGCAAACTATTTTATATGAAGAACAGTTTGAACATTAAACTAAACCAACCCTATTTATGTAAAGGCTGGTTAATGCACTCTCTGTAGACTCAAATCGGTATCTCACCCTGGATGTAGACTACCAGTACCAGCAGTAAAACCAGCAATAACCTTATTTAAAAACTGGATAATTGTGCATCAAGGCCAACAAATCTTCTCTGAGAGTTGTCTGTGTTACATCTGCATGAAAAAACAACAATGCTGCCATCTTGAGTCAAAATAGGAGTATGTAGAGACATTTGAATCTTTCACATCATGCACAGAATCTGAGATACAGTGACATAAAAGTCCCTTCTTTATCGGAGCAAAGTTCTCTTGTGAGTCTTTATCGCTTTGTAGTCGCCCTGTATAACAATCTAGAGTCTGTCTGGGTCTCTTTGTAGTTGTTTTGCCTCTTTATAAAGTAATTTAGCACTTCTTTGTGGCG